AGCCAAACTGCCTGTGAGAAAGGATGTCATTCTTCTTCAGGAAACTGGACAGGCTGCGGTTCACGATGGACTCCATACACTTAGACATTATGGGCAGTAGTGATATCGGTCGGTAGTTTCTGGGGTTCGAATTGGGGCCTTTCTTGTGTACCGGTACGACGTTGGCAACTTTCCACATGGCAGGTTGATGACCACTGCAGAAGCACAGGGTAAACAGCTTGGATAACGTTAGGGGCAGGGCCAGAGAGTCGGCACATTTTCTCAGCACTCTAGCAGGTACTGCATCAGGCCTTGTGGCTTTACTTGGGTTCAGGGCTCGGAGTGTCCGGCGTACGGTGGCTTGGCGGAAGTGGACTGTTGCAAGCGTATTTGCGGTGCGCTGGCGGACATGCGGGAACGGCCCCGACTGTTCTGCAAAGTCATCGTCTAGGCTGCACTTCTGGGCAAAGTACTTCCCGATGACGTTAGCCTTGTCGTGGCTTTTGGTGCATTCCATGCCATCGGGGTCAACCAGGACTGGGATGGAGCTGTCCCGGCCATGCCCTCCAACTCGTTTAATCACGCTCCACCACTCTCTGTCCTGCAGGCTGCCCGTCCGGAGCCGTTGCTTGACATGGTCGAGATGTCTGGCTTTGGCTCTTGCTAGACATCTTGTTGAGTCAAGGGATGCTAGCTTGTACGTACACTGGAGCGCTCCATTTCTGGGGTCATCGCGGAATTTCCGCCAGCATATGGGTTGAACACCCGAACATCAAGAAGGGTTCGCTCAAATCGACTGCCACACAAACCACTGGCAGCCACATCCAGTCGTGCATTGTTCTCCACATTAGCAGTACGATATCTCAACTCAAAACTGCTCACCAGTCGGCGGCTGCTACACAGGTTCAGTGGAGACTTTCGAGCACTCCTGATCCAACAACTGGGCAGTTGTGTCCCGATTAGCGTTATGTCGTATCGACGGGAAACCTCCACGGGGACATGAAAGCGAGTCCAACACATTGATTTCATGGCCACAGGAGCAGTGGGATGGAAGCTTTGCAGGTGTTCCCTCATAACGGATTCCGTTCCTGCCCGTCGTCACTTGACGACGGGCAGGAACGGAATCCACTGCGTTCATTGGCTCACGAACCTACTTGGTGCGTATTCCGTAAATACAAGGACAACGAAAAGCGCGTGCATGCATGCTCATTAACTTTCCCAAAGACTTGAAAGAGACTTTGGCTTGGGAAGTTGGGTGCACACGTTCCAGTCACTCAAACTCGACCAGTTTTGGAGGAAGGATCTACCGCTGTTCATCCAGCCCTGCCGCTATCACCGCGCGCGCTGGATTCCGCGGTACTGCCCTCATACTCGTGCAGGAACCTGCACTTCCAGTCACTCATATTCGACTGCTGTTCATCCAGCCGGCCCTTGCCGGTATCACGGCGCGGGCTGGATTCCGCGGTATGTACTGCCCTCGTACTGGTGCAGGAACCTGTACCAGTGTACTGCAGCGTACACTCATCATGCATGGTCATACAACATGATTGTTTTATTTTTTATTATTTATTTCTTTTTGCCATGACACAGACAGGACTAGGGCCAGGTTGGTATATCCTAGACTAGTATTAGCCAGGTACTACTACTACAGTACTAGTACTCGGTATGGTCGTATTCTGGTCATTCAGGTATGGTCGGCATGATATTATTATACAAGTAGGAAAGGGTGGAGTGAGAATGTGCCCTAGCTACTTGTGCACATCTGCGCATGCTGCAAGCATCAGTTCCATCTAACACCAGTAACCATTGAGAACGGCGTTGCTGATCTGGCCTGTGTTGGCGTTAGTTGCGGCGCTGCGGTGCTTCTTTGGTGCCCGTCTTTTTTTCTTTTTCTTTCTTTTCCCATCTTCATTCCCGTTCACTGCCTGGTGACAGTGGTGTGTTGGCGAAACCTCGGGACTGGGTAGATCGGCCCAATTCGTCCACTGAGGCTCCTCTTTCATCCAAGACGGCAACCAGTCGGCACTAAGAGATTCTGTTTTTCGATCTTCCCTGCTTGTATCACTTAATGCTGGATTGCTGGGCTTGCAACCGCGGCCAATGCCAGTTGTCCTACATCGTTCCCTGGCTTCTTGTGCACGTCTGCGCATGCTGGACGCATCAGTTCCATCTAACAGCGTTGCTGATCTGGCCTGTGTTGGTGATGATAGTTCATGTGCTGCGGTGTTTCTTGGGTGCCCATTTTCAATACCGTTCACTGCCTGGGCAGAGGTAGCTGAAGACTCACTGTCATCATGGTCATGCGGATGAGCTACAGCATTGTGTGTGCTTACAGCCATATCCATACTTATGCTCAACGGATTTGTGCAAAACTGGCAAAACTTTCAGCAGCAGTAGTAGTAGTAGTACTTGTAGTAGCCGTAAAAACGATTCTCCCAGCAAGAGGAAGAGCAGTTATGTGGTGGGGACTCTGAGGTGTATACACTTTGTAGATTCTGCACAGGTCGGATGTATCACCATTGGACCTCACGAATAGACACGTAAATCCTGGCAGGCTCTGCTTCTGCTACAGAACTCACTGGTTTTAGTAGGCAAGACCAATTTAACGTTCTCACAAGTAGGCAAGACAAAGTTAACGTTCTCACTAGTAGGCAAGAGTGGTACTAGTAGTAGGCAAGACAAACTTCACTGGTACTGTGGCTGACTCAGCACAACGTACAAGACTCACATCAGTCACAACTTGATATCTTACGATCGACACGGGTTCAGTTCAGTGATTAAACTTCGGTGGAGAGCCAAGGGGCAATTATTTATAAGACGAAAAGAGGACCAAAGAGCTACAATTTACGCTATAATGTCCACTAACACCACCAGTTACTCTACAGTCAGCTCATGCGATAACATTGCACGACACTGACCAACGGTACTGACGTTCTACACCTAACTGGCAATCAGTTCTAGCACATTTCAGATGCGCACTCCAACAGCCTCAACACCCTCCTCATGCTATTTCTATAACTTAGAACCTTCCAAGTCGGAAGGCTGTTGGAGTGCCAATTTGAGATGTGCTAGAGCTGATTACCAGTTAGGTGTAGAACGTCCGTACTCTTGGTGAATGTTGTGCAGTGTTATCGCATGAGCTGATTGTAAACTAACTGGTGGTGTTAGTGGATATTATAGCGTAACTTGTAGCTCTTTGGCCGTCTTTAATTTTTTTAAATTCAGAAAAATTAAGTCTGACAAAGATGTACATGCTTGTGCTGTGTATGGTGTTGGTAAGCGATGGGTACAGTGTAACCTTGAAATCGCTTGTTACTGCAAGTATTGAGCTATGCACTCGTTCACGTGATAATCATTGAGCCCAACTACCAGGAGAGTTCTACAGGTCATGCACTCCTGTCTGGCGGACCAGGCACGCGTGGCTGTTGATCAGCACACTGCCATGTCCATCGCAAGCACCTTTCTATAGAATGGATACTTATCTGAGCCTGTGGGGAGTTTTCTGTAACGGTGGATGGGATGAAAGGGCAGTGAAAAGAGGTCGCGGGAAGACCTGGATTACTTCATTTGTCTCTCGATGGTGCGAAGAGTACATATCCTATGTCTAAAAAGGTGTGCAACTACAGTTGCGCCTGGTGAAATCCGACCCAAAGCCCACGTACGGTGCAGTTTGTGCATACATGTATATGGTGCCCTCAAGTAATAATAATACTTTCACGGTTGTTGCCCCCCCCCGCACCTGGAAGTGGTGCGAATGCGTTAAAGAGTGATGCCAGGTTTATGTACACTCTTGGTGATACCCGTGGCAAAGCAGAGCCGTGCACAAACCTGTACTAGGCTGTAGCGTTCATGCGCAGGAGGCAGGTTGCAAATGGTGCATGGAATGAGCTAGTAGGAGCTGTTTTTTTTGTTTTGTTTTTTATTTTTTGTTTTTTTACTAAGGCCACAGCTTCCAATCATGACATGCAAAGCAGCGGTGCAGCATCGCAGGCATGAATTGTGGCCGTGGTGACGGGGTCTGATGTGCTCCACCGACCTACAGTCCATTCATAAAAAGATGGGCTCTGGCTCTGGCGAGCTCCCGTATTTGGCGGTTTTTCGTGATTTCATCGTACACAGTGCAGCGCTGCGAACTTTGAAATTTGAAAAAGGGTCCAAAAAGGGTGCCTGAACTGGGGTTCGAACCGCAGAATGCACTGTTGCCAGGCGGGGTCAAACGGCCTGGATTTTGATGGTTTTCCCAATTCTGTGCTTTTGGGGCAAAACCTGGCCGAAATCCTATTCTTGCTATGGCTTGCTTTTTGGACAAAAAAACTTCAGAAACATAATTGGAAGAGGATTCCATAGGGGATTGCCAAAAAAATTCTAAAAAAACTCAAAGTTTGACCCATTTATGGCCAAAAGCTAGAAGTTCATTTTTTTCTGAATGGACTGTAGGGTCTCGGCTTCACTGCACAGCAAACGCGTCGAAAGAAAACGGGGGCTAATAATTATCGGGAGATGGGGGGGGGGGAGAAGAAGAGAAGAAAGAGAGAGAGAGAGAGAGAGAGAGAGAGAGAGAGAGAGGGAGAAAGAGAGAGAGAAAGAAAGAGAGAGAGAGAGCGAGAGAGAGAGAGAGAGCTGGGAGATAGAAGAGCACAGTGCTCTTGTCGATGGGGACTGCGAAGGATAGCAAGTTCTGGGACATGTGCATGAGAATCAGAATATTGGTGATGATGGCAGCAGGGTTATAAGGTAAGCAGCTGAACACTAATATTATTATTATTATTATTTGTGCTCCCGCGTCAATGGGCTCGCCCAAATTCGCTTGCACCGAACCATGCGAAAAAAGGCCGCCAGCAGGCAGGCAGGCAAAGAAAAATAGAAAATGGTGTCACATAAACTAATACAAACAAGAATATCATTATTGATGACATTAATATACTGAATGAATGGCAAGGCCATGTGAATACGGATAATACGGATAATCAGAGTACCAACAACAAAGAATGTAGCTCAAACCATTGCAGTGCCAGCTTCCTTCACCAGTACTCTGCCTTGTACGCATCTGTAACTGCGTTGCACAGATATGTCCATTCACGGCGATCCAGTGCTCGCTGAGCCATCAGCTGCAAGTCCCTTGGAGTCCTCAGACGGCAGCCGACTCGCTCCGCGTCTTGATTCAGCAGGACCGGTAGCGTGATCCGCGGCCGCCCACGGTATCCCGGCACGGAGCAGCCAAAGAATCCACTCATGGCCTCCCTAGCCGGTGTGTGCTCATCTGATCGCAGGATGTGGCCGAACAACCGCCATCTTGCATTCACCAGAATGTTGCCAAGTGGAGCAGCACTGCAGCGCTCGTAAACCAAATCGTTCGACAGTCGGTTGGGCCACCTGATACCCAAGATATGCCGAAGTTGCCGCCGATGATACGATTCCAGCGCTTCAATTGTCTGTCGAGTGATGCCCCATGAGGAGCAGTTGTAAAGCAAGACAGGTAACACGAAGCAGTTATACAGCCGGACGCGCACCTCCAGACTCACTTGGTCTCTTCTCTTCCATAACTGGCAGAGGGACTTAAACGCTATCGCCGCAAGCTGCTTTCTGCGGGTGACATCCTCTGCATCACCAAGGAGAGAGCCGAGTTTCTTGACCATACGCCATGGCTCATCAGCACGATCGGCCTCTCGCTGGATGGCTGTGAATTCTGTCTTGGTCTGGTTGACGGTAAGGGACCATGTACCCAAGATGGTGGCAACCTGTGGCTCTAACATCCGAAGCCAATCACTAGAGATACTGATGAAGTCCACATCATCGGCGTACTCCACATCGTACGGAAGATGCCGGGCCACAGGTGCAGCCATTCGCTGTCGCACATCCTGCAGGGCAGCTTCCAGGTAGATCACGAATAGAATTGGCGACAAGGAGTCGCCTTGCGGGGTACCAATGTTAGTGGAGAAAGAGCTTGATGTTTCCGTGCCCAGTCTGACTGCCAAATTCGTATCTGAGATCAGGTAACGGATCAAGCGTACCTCGTCTTCTTCCAAGAATCGCTGAACCACGTCCATCAACTGTCCTCGCCTGATCGTGTCAAAGGCACGTGACATGTCGATGCCCAGTATGCTGAATGACCAGTGGTACCGCTGGGTCGTAGCTGCTAACCACCGATGGCACCAGACCACATCAGCTGTTGACCTTCCTGCACGAAAACCACTTTGGTTCAGTGATAGGAAATCGTTTACGGCTGGCGAGATGCGCTTGAGGACTACCAGCGACATGACTTTGCGTAGAGTTGTCAGGAGGATGATCGGTCGCAGACTGGTTAAAGCACCCACCGGCTTTCCGGGCTTCTGGAGAGGTATTAGTGTGCCATGACCGATGAATGGCTCTACCCGGTGTTGCTGAAATAGGCTGTTGATGCATCGGCTTATGACGGGAGCAGTGGCATCGGCTGAGTACTTCAACAGCTCACCCGGGATGTTGTCGGGAACACTACTAAGAACAGGGAAAGCGTTGGCGAGCAGATTCAAAGTGCATCAGTAGCAGAGAGCCAGTCCTGAGCAAGAAGGTGAAGGTACACCTTTTTCTTAAAGCTTTGCATGTGGGGCTGGGCGGGTGGGTGGTGGAACAGGTCTGGTGGCAGGGCATTCCATGTTGCAACGGTGCTAGCAGGAAATCCTTGGAGACAGCTATTCCGGGTGTTGGCAGGCAGGCCAGTTGTCATCTGGGGTATGGATGGGACCTGTTCAGTAGTCTACGTGATTTCAGTGGTGGCATGGCTTGAAGATTGGGAGACGGAGACATAGCTGTATTGCAGGGCGCCTTACAAGCTCCAGGGCATCTGACTGATGAAACGTAAGTGCAGAGAGAGCAAGGGTGCCATATTGCAGGATAAGCCGGATTCATACAACGTACAGATGGCCGGGATTCGTACATTCTGCACTCATCAGCGCAGCACAAGGAAAATGAGAACCTGATAGCAATGAAAAATAGAATTTGCAAAGGCAGATTTAAACCAAGCCCGAACGTACCTAAATTAACTTTACAGCTACAAATGTTCAGGCATTTCCGCGATCATCAGACAGCAGCATTTAGTATTGTATGTCTGTACATAACCATTGTGGTGTAATGGGTGCCAATTGTGATCTAAGGAGGCAAGAAAAGATACAAACATGACTGGGATGATTAAATATCTGCCTATTACTATCCCGATCATCATCAGCAGCAGCAAGGAGAGAGAGAGAGAGAGAGAGAGAGAGAGAGAGAGAGAGAGAAGGAGAGAGAGCGAGGGGGGGAGAGAGAAAGGGGTAGAGAGAGAGAAAGGGGGAGAGAGAGAAAGTGAGAGATGTCTGTATGATTGATGATTCCAGTTTTAAAATGGCAATAAATAAGATAAATTGTGCACTCATAACAACAGCAAAAATGAAGAAAGTCAAGTTCCATAACGTTTTCTTGTGACTGTCATCAGTGGAACGCCGTCACATAAAAATGTCATAACTAAAACACACGCTTATATGGACTCAGTATAGAGTCCATGCACTATATGATGTCCAGCACCCTATATAGAGTCCATTGGTCCAAAATCCACTATACAGAGTCCAGGAGTCCACTCAGTTTTGATCAGCTTCATCCTGCCGCGCAATCCCCTATAAGGAGTACACTTTTTCTACAAGTCCCCTATTCACGGTCCAGGAGTCCAGTTTATCCAGTCACGCCGTCCTGTGTGTTGTGTCCGAAAGAGAACAGACACCTTTTCAGTTTTGCTTGCCTCGTGGCAGCGCATTCCTTTCTTCACTTCAGCCATGGCTGCCAGTTCTGCTGTGCAGTTGCTGACAGTAATCTGTATCGAGGTAACCAAGGAGGATAATGAGACGTTCAAAATCAAATCTGGAAAGCGTCTTGTGGTTCTCGGAAGACGTTTCATCAGTGCGCGGGATGAAAGCAGAAATTGCAGAACGAGAAAAGTTCAGCACAGTTCAAATCTGACGAGTCAGGTACACCGACACTCTCTTTCGTTCGACGCCACAAGGATCCCCTGTTTGGCTATCGCTGCCAGTAAGACGTTTGAATGGTTTCATCAGAGCGAGGGATGAAAGCAGAAAGCGGAGAACGAGAAAAGTTCAGCACAGTTCCAATCTTACGAGTCAGATACACTGACACTCTCTTTCGTTCGACGCCACAAGGATATCCTGTTTGTCTGGACAAGAGCTGCCTGTACCACCGTGTCAAAAGGCTGTCCAGCTACACGGCAGGACGATGACTGAGGTAAGGAAGCTTTTAAGTACTCGTTTCGATTGGTCTGCTGTTCTGTCGAAATATGCTTGAATTTTTTTCCATTTTCAAGGAGCGTATCGCGTTTGTTTGATGTTGCTTGAATGAATGCCCTAAAAGTAATCAACCACTTCGTAATAGTCCTCAAGGACTGTGAGGACTTTGGATCAATCGTATACGATCGTCTAGCTATCATCAATTATTATTTTATTTCATGAAAAATGTATTTTTATCCCTATGATAATTATGTGAACTCCACGACACTCTTCCTCTACTAGGCTCTAGTATGATGTCAAATACAATGGGATCCACAAACGCAGTGCCAGTGTACTAGTAGTAGTAGTAGGAGGATTTATTGTATGCCAATGACAAGAAAAAGCTTCTCAAGCTAATACATGTACTCGTATTCCATGAAGTAACCGTTTTGATGTGACAAACATGACACTGTGTCAGTGAAACTGCCTCGTGACAACAAATCATCGCATTTCCATCTCGGGGAAGACTGACTGACGGCAACGCTGTACAGATTGTTCAAATCATCTCATTTCAAAACGAAAGACTGTGTACACTACATGTATGGTGGTGTGTCTGTGCGTCTTGAGTGTGCACAAACGATCTTATTCCTCGTATTACTAATAGATTATTGTCCCCACCGTCACCTGTTCACAATCTTTGAGTGGATGGATTTTCATTGAGCATCACATTCGTTTAGAACTTGGTAGTTGTGTGCTCCCATGCATCATTACGGTAATAAGCGTATCCTTGTGCTATCTATTTGTTGCAGGTGTGCTGATCTTCAGAAGCTTGCGGAACTGAGTGCTGCTGAACATTTGCATGGCCATGAGCAATGGTGAAGCTTGCTATTGGAGTCTCAGCATGTGCTAGTATTATGCTGACTACTGCACTATGTTACTCTCTTACACTACTACATGTACATGTTTGTAAACGTGCGTGCATCCGCCCACGGCCACGTATGCATTCGTTTCGTATAACTATTTGTTATCCTGCTTGACTTTACGTGTAAATGGGTGGACGTTTGCATGGCTGTTGGAGTTGCGTGTGTATTGTGTCTCTACTCTTTTCTTGGTGTTTTCTTGGCGTTGTATAAGTTTGTGTGTGTGTGTGTGTGTGTGTGTGTGCGTGTGTGTGTGTGTGTGTGTGTGTGTGTGTGCGTGCACGCACAATAATTTGAAACAAATAATTAATCCTTGGCTCTCCATTATTATCTTTCGATTCTTTTGTTTTTTTTCTAGGTATTTTCTTGGCGTTGTGTGGGTGTGTGCATGTGTGTGTGTGTGTGCGTGCACAATAATTTGGCAACGTTACATGATTGAGATATTGTAATTTGCAGCGTCTGCGAAGAGACCACTTGATTTGAGGATGGTGTTTGTAGGGTTTTTCATGTAATGAAGTGGCTGCAGTGGCGCCTCAATAATTAATTTTTTATCTTGAGAAGTGAATGATGTAAAGGATTAAAGGGAGAGGCTGTTTTCTGGTTAATATTCACTGCTTACAGCAGATCCTATGTCTAATTTCGAACTCTGGATAGGGGATGCCTAATTGGCTGGACTTTATACAGGAAGTGTTGTCCACATATGATAAAGACCCTTTATTGTTGATTTCAAAGTTTGGACTCCGTACAGTTGATTTTGGACCAATGGACACTATATAGGGGTGAAGCCAATTGGCTGGACTCTATACAGGGAGTGATGTTCATCTAAACTTTGAGCTCACAGTTGATTCCAAGTTTGGACTCTGTACAGTGGATTTTGGACCAATGGACTCTATATAGGGGTTGGACATCATATAGGGGCTGGACGCTCTACTGAGTCCAACATATACATGTAGCTAATATGGTTTCAGGCAGAATTACAGCAGCTAACAAGTACAAAAAGCGAAGTGTGCACCTTTGCGATGTGTGAATATAGTGTATGTGAGAAAGGTAGTGGCAGATGAATGTGATACTGTGTGAATGAATGGAATGGTGGGTGTGTATTACTTGAAGAGTGTGAGTGATACAACGTTTTCTTTCTGTTTACATAGCACAGGGTCACGAGTACGAATATACACAGCTTCCAACACCTGCAGTTGCTTGAAGAAACGTGCGCAACGAATAACACTAAACCAGGAATCGTCAAACACCTTACGACGTTCCACTGATGACAGTCACAAGAAAACGTTATGGAACTTGACTTTCTTCATTTTTGCTGTTGTTATGAGTGCACAATTTATCTTATTTATTGCCATTTTACGACTATTGTCTCCTCGTCGACTGATTCCAGTTTTGTTTTTCAATTTTAGACCATATATGATGGACTCTGATGGAGAGCCAAGGATAAATTTATAGAAAGGAAAAGAAAAGTGGACATAATAGCGTAACGTTTAGTTCCTTGGTCCATTTTCTTTTCTGTACATTTATGATGAGGCCAGCTATAGGGTCTTGATCCAGGAAACATTCCATCCAAAAAATCGTGCGAGGATTCGTAATGATGGCTTGCTGATTCAGCTCTATGATAATTTGGACCAACTATTCTGTATTGCTAAAGTAGGTTTCTATAACCGTGGCATGTTTGCTTTGTGCATGTGTTTTTCTGCATGTGGGTGTGTGCGTGTGTGTGCGTGTGTGTGTGTGTGAGTGTGTGCGTATGTGTGTATTTATGTGTGTGTGTGTGTGTCCCATATGGTGCAGTGGTATGTGCAGCGATTTCCAATCGATAGATTGCGGGTTCGATTCCCGACGATTATGGTCACATACGTCTTTCTTCTCTTTCTCAGACTCTTACTGACTTTTCTTTCATTCTCCTGGGTGGTTACCAACAGCCAGTGCATGCCGGAGTATGTGGTGTGATGTGTGTGCGGGAAAAAAAGAAGAAAAAAAAGAAAAAAATGAAAAAGACCAAAAAAGGGATTCACTGGCCAGAAAATGTCACTCCAAATAGCTGTATGGTGTAGACCAGGCTGAATAGTGACGGTCAATTCTTCAGCCTTGCAAGCTGTTGAATGGTGT